GGTTTCTTAATTATCATTTTTTTATAATTTATTTTTGCTGTCTTACTACAGATTTGGTCAACTCTCAATTTTCAAATCCGAAAAAAAATGCAAACAATGCGTTACAGAGATGAAGTGGCACGTGTCAGGCATTAAATGCTGGTAAGTTATTTCCCTGCTGCTGGGTCTATCCCTTTGCTTATATCTGTGTAGGTCTTTTGTCAAAAATACTCATCTGAAGATTCATTTAATGTGTCTGACACCGTATCACTTCTTCAGCGCTTCTCAAGAATGTAACAGTACGCAGTTAAACTTTAAAAAAAAAAAAAAGGATTTATTCTTGCATAATTTCACTTGCACAACTACAGTCTCATCTGTGTCAAACAAATCGCACAGCCTAAAACCTTATCGGCAGTTTCCACCTCGGTGACTGCAGTCTGGGAAGCGGCACAATTCCTCAAACAGGTGAACACATTTTAAGGACTTCCGCTTAATTGGACCGTGTCTTTAAATAGAATTATTTAACCAGGAGTGGCTGAGGAAACAACACATTGAGAGCAACCCAAGTACAGTTGAAATTGTCTTATGAGAAACAGTGGCGTCTGATTCATAATTACTCATTATACCTATTACTAATGCTTTAAAAAAAAACAAAAGAAACCAACTTCACAGTATGAATATTTTACTGTAGAATAGTTAGATGTGACATAAATGAACAATACAAATTAATTTCATTTTCTCTGAAAAAAAAAAAGTAACTTTTTTTTCTATTTGGCCAGATCTTAAGACAGACACATAATAGTTATTTTATAATACCTTTGTAATTTTTAGGATCATATGAATGCTACGGATGGTACAATACTTCCTTTTTTAAGGGGGAAAAAAAAAGGAATCTAACTGATACCATTGTTTTGGCAGCAAAAAGTGCACTAAAAAGTAACACCACCAGCAGCAGGGAGGAGGATTCCCCAATTCTAAGTAAGTATTAACATTGAAAAAAAAAATACTACGGTGATCTTTTTTTTTTTTTTCTTCCCAACACTTTACCAACACGAAGTCGAAAGTACCCGTTACAGAGTCCGCAAAGGCTGCCGGAATCTAAATTCCTTTTCAGCAGCTCGGGGACTGGAAGAGGGTGATTCTGCACAAGCTGTTAACAAAGCCAAAGCCTTCCGGGAAAACCTGCCCCACGGGGGGCGGCTTTGCCTTTCTCCCAGAGGATTGGGGTTGTTTCGCCATGGGGTAGGGGTTGTCTCGCTGTGTGGGGAGCACGTACCTGCTGCGGTGGCTTGCTATGGGCCTTGCCTGGGTGGGATGCATGTGGTGCCGGAGGGTCGGTGCAGGTCCCTCCACGCTGGCATGACCCTTCAGGCAGTGCTGCCCGGTCACCCCAAAAGCAGCCCGTCCCGGGGTGAGCGTGGTGGAGCAAATCTAGGAAAGCCCGAAAGACGCGGTGAGACGTGGCAAGAGGGAGCGAGAGCAGAGGCAGCGAGTTGCCAAGCACCAGGATCAGTGCTACGGTCCCGCACCCAACCTTCCCTCTTCCTCCTGGCAAGAATGGGTTATACCGTGGAGCAGCCACCACAGCTGGGAGGGATTTCCCTTCCAATCCATCACCCGATGGACACCCACCCACGTTTTCGGGGGTGGGCAGAGGTGCTGCTGCTCACCAAGCTCTTACTTTTTAGCTCTGCCCCTATTTCTTCCCTGTTCCCCCTACTCTCCCGCATCCCAGCCTTCCCTTTCACCTGCGCTCACCGCGGCGGGCAGGAGCTGCTGCCTGGGGGTCTGACAGGGGGAGTCTCGGACGAAGCACCAGCTCCCGTCACTTGCACGACACGTTAAGATCCCAGAACCGACCGCTAAATCCAGGGTTAGTGACACTTTGGCAGCTTTACAAGCAGCGCAAGGAAGTCACCTATGGTGGCAACAGAGCCTTTGACAACTATATCAAGCGACTAGGCTAGTTTAACATATTCTTACTGCAGTTCTTTATGCTTTTAAATTAGGTCCTCAATATATCCTCCTATGTACAGAAAAATAATTTCCCAAGGACAGTCCTTTTTTTTAAAATATTTAAATGAACAAACAAAACTGCGTGCCTAGAAATGCTTTTCTGTTAGATTTACTATTTGATAATGACAACATAGCTGTGTTTTTATATTATATATACAAATAATCACACACATATATATATATAAAAGCATGTATTTAACTATAGATACATCGATATGCATGTAGGACAAGAGTGTTTGGGCTAAACAAACGCGAGGATATATGTGGAATGTACGTACAGAGCAAACCCCTCAAAGCTAAGGTGATTTAACCCGATTCCCAGCTTTTCTGTGTTTCAAGGGTTTTCACTGCTAGGTTTGAACAAACTGAGCTATCCCAGTGGCAAACGGAGCGGTATGGAAGCAGACACCACTGTTGCAGTAAAAGTCTGGACTTGTCACATCTTAGTTTTGAAAACGTATTTAATAATATTACAAAAACTGCATTATCCACAATGTTTCCCCCCCAACCCTACTCGCATGTAACAAAAAGTGATTGGTTTATTTATTTATTTTTAAAGGGTAAAAAAATTTTAAAATGAACATTTAAAAAGTTCCCTCATAAAAACTCATGTTGAGAAAATATATAATAATTAAGTGCATCTAGAAAAAGTTCTGTAATTTATCAGTCATTTGGCTTAGCGTCAGCTCAGCGACATGCTCTGTCTTTCAAGGTGCCCCAGTCAACCCACTTTCAGGGCTTTACAGACTGGCTTTCTACCAGCACTAGACTTGGTAAGGTACTTGGTATTTCCGAGGCCAGGTCAGCCTAGTGTTTTTTGATTTACAGTGCTTCCAAATGTGTTGCAATCTGTAAGTATATGAATTATGGTTTGCCCGGTAAATACAATTCTGTTGAGTTTAGTGGCTAAAACCACTTTCGGGAAGGTAAGGAAGAAAACAGATCCAGCTGCAAAGACTATAAACTACTTCTGTGTTTTATCTTAATCTCGACTTCTTGTTTGATGCTCTGTTGCAATCTTTCAATCCTTACAGAGCTTGAATCGAGTTCATAATGTAGGCTCTACATTATCGAGGCCTTTTGAATTCCTCCACGCGTCCCCAGCAAAGCATGTAGGCACCCGGCTGGCTTTACGTATGCCTTTGCACTGACTTGGGGCATGAATTAAAGTTAAGCATCTGCTGAAGTGCTTCGTTGAGCCAGGGGCTGCAGGGCTGCGGCAGAGATGGCAGCTGCCAGATGAGCTGTGAGGGAGAAGCCTGGAAAGGCATCCCTAAAACAGCACTGTTTCACAGAGCTGAGCATCAGCAGGGGGGTTAAAGGGAGGGCAAAAGCGATGCTTTCCAAAGGACTTAATTAATTACAGGACAGAAGCACCAGTTTACTCACAAGACGTATACAGAAGAAAACCCACAAAACGGAGCAAGGCAGTGAGATGTGTTTTCTGGTCACCCGCTGCGTTCGTTTATGCAACGCAGCCGGTGTTTGGCTCGGAGGGAGCCAACGGGCTTAGCAGGTGGGGAAAATCGCGGCCAGGAGGGGACCTGGGTGATCTCAAACATGAGCCCCGACCCTAACGGCAATGAAGCGGAGGCTGCAGGCTTGCGGTGTGGGCAGCGGGAGCTCCCAGCCTGGCACTGCTGGGAAGGACGGCACGGATGCGTGCTCAGGTGGCAGGCTGGACCTCTGAAGGGGGAGAGCTGAACCTGCCCCAGACATAATGACTTCCAGCTGCATCTGACCAAGTGCAGAGGAAAATGAGCTCAGGTGGTTTCCCCGAGAG